GTCTGTCCAGATACATGTACTGGAGCAAGGTCCATTCGAGATAGATAGAGAGAAAAATATGGGCCTCGCTGCACTACTCTCGAAATGTGCAAAACGAGAGTGAATCTTCAGCTAGAATTCCGAAAGATACACCGCCAAGATTTTTGTCTTTTGTGCATGTCGAGAGTAGTGCAGCGACGCCCTATAGCTTAGGTCCATTCGAGAGTAGTGCAGCGACGCCCTATAGCTTAGGTCCATTCTTGGGATTGCACCTCGGACGGCTCTGAAATCACAATTCCAAAATCCGAACCCATAACTTTTTTTCCACAGATGGCAGGGATGTCGCAGAAGGATATAATCTCAGCAGAGTCTCATCAGAAGTATAGTGTTCCCCTCGTGGCTGAGGGTGAAAGAGCATCAAATGTTGCTACTGGTAAGTGGTCCATTGGACCACAAGATGATAAATTGGATTAGGGGCCTACCCGACCCACATCTTAAGAAAAATGCATGGCTGATCTCCGATGTTGATCTGCACAGATCAGCGGCGGATATCCTGTGTCCGTTTTTCTTATAGAAATGGGGTCCTGGCCGATCTTTGCCGCTGATCCGCGATGATCGGCGGCCAAGATTGGCCACTTTCTGTACTTGAAAAATCCGGGCCTACAGGACCCGGTTTCGAAATTGCGGGGCAGGGCCCGCCCCCATGAGGCCTCAAGAACACATACGGGCCGACAAAAAAAAAAAAATCAGCCCCCAGCGAAAATGCGCTGGGGGCAACCGGGAGGGAACCGGCCCGGGCCACCGGCCGGTCCAACCAGGAGGACCGCGGATGGGGTAGGGGTCCCCGGTCCATCCGGGGACCAGCCCTGGTCCATAGCCGTTTTTATTTTGGTTGTTTCGTTTTTAGTTTTTGCAAGCACCTGCCGTGGTATCGTTGTCTCTGTAAAGCCCTGACTGAGGGCACACTCTCACACAGAATCCACATTCTGTAACAAATCGTTTCCACGGCCATAGCATTTTTTTATTTATTTTTTTCACATTGTGGAGTGCAACTGCTGTGACCACCGCGTCGCTATAACGCCCTGACTGCGGGGGTAACATGTACTACGAATTTTGCATCTGACTGCTTTTTCGGTCATAGCGTAGATTCTTTCCCCCCCCCCCCTTCTTCGTGCTCTTGTTGAAAGTAACTACCGTGATGAAATACGTTTTCTTTTTTTTTGTTTTTTTGGAGAAGTACCAGAAAAGAAATTGCAGTCGAACCCAGGCTCGGCAAAACTCGGTGCGCAGTGAAATTCAGTGTTGGGAAACACAGGATCGGAGGTAAAGATGGTTAAAAAAAAAAAAACAGCCCGAGTGGATGCTAGGGGTGCTGATAGGAGCAGGCACCACTAGCACTCCCGAGGAGGCTCCATCTATTGGTGGGGAGCAGCACCTGCTGGAAAACAGGTCCAGCATCCCTGAACATTTCGGTTGCTCTTAGATTACACAGAAATTACAGAATTGATCTCCTACATGGCTGTCTACTGTTATGATTCTGGTTGTTTGTTGCCTGAAGACCAACACTCACTCACATAGACTTCCAGGTATGCCCATACATACACAGAAGGAAGGGGAGAGGATAGGAGTATCACACTGCACAGGGAGAGAGAAACACAGCGGAAGACTTAACCATGCGATATGACAGGGTGCACTGAAAGTGCAATTCCCTCCAGTCAATCCTCGCAACCAGTCATAAAGAAAAGCCGAGTAGATCACATCCAGGAACGATGAAACAATGATAGCCGCTGATGCACTGGAGGTACCTAAGAAGAAGACTGGCTATGGCCGTGGTGGACCACCAAGCTGTGGTGCCAGGTAAGTGGACTGCGCTGTACCTGTGCGCTCCACCTCTACTCAGCACAGTTTTACTCTCACTAGTGCTATGCTGCTTACTTGGCAGTGCAGCAGCCTGTTTGCACTGTGTGAATGACCCAACCGCCCTACTGGGCCGGTCCTTCTCCCAAAGTACTACTGGGCACAGGCCCCTGAGGCCCAGTGTGAGTGGCCACAGCATTCCACACTTGTGGACCCTTGTGTACGTGGTGAAACTTCTCAATCGTCTCAGCTGTCTCAACCATCTGGGATCCTTGTGGACCATCTGGATCTTGCCTGTCTGGACCATCCAGACCGCTTCTGGACCCTTGTGGACACTTCAGATCCTCCGGGCCCTCTGGGCCTTAGCGTCTCTATGGCGAAGTGAGTCCCATTTCGCCAGGTTCTGGATCTCCTGGCGACACACCTACTATCAGGACTACTGGGTTCTGCAGAATCAAATAACTCACCCAGTATATCACTGGAAGTGTTTTGTGAGTGCAGCACATCGTTGTAATGTCTTAGCAACAGAAAATGAGAGTTGCTCTCGTCTCGTTATAGGCATGACACCAACTAATTATCATATCGACTACCGATATTTTGTTTGTACAAGTTGAATCGATGAATCCAGACCAACACACCAGCTTACCTCCAAGAACACTAAAGCAAACTCAAGGGACAATTGAAGTCACGTTCAAAGTTTTCTTTTTTTTCTCTAACCACTAGACTCACTAGTACCTTTGTCGGTTTGGAAAATAGTGGGCCTCCGACCTTTCAGGAGGCCGAAACGAGACGACGGCCGCCGATCAGATTTATCAACGGCAGCCGTTGTCGGGCCCCTCCTCCTAAAAGTTCGGTAATAGGCTATAACTTGCCAAAACGAAACGGCAAAGGTACTAGTGGTTTAAACAGAGCCTTATGGCTCTGGCTCCTTGTCCATTCTGGGGAGCGTCGGTCCGGTTCCTTTTCCACTGGCAAGTCAGAAATACAGATTACAACACACTCGAAAACGCTTCTCCCCATAATGGCTGGGAGACCCGAGGGACGGCATTGAGTCACATTCACACATAGCGTGTCATTTTCACAGTATGCATATGTTTCACATTATGACATGTGCATACACATGACTCACAGTACAGATATGATGATTGACATTATTATGAAACTTGCAAAACTGTTCTGTATAGAGCGTGTCATAATGTGCTCTCGATGCTAGTGGCTCTCAAACATCTGCTCAAAAGACCCGCTCGATGGTTTTGCACTCATAAGTCTAGAACATGTATACAAAATTGATGAAAGCTGTCCTCCGGGACATCAGCAGAAATGCAATTCGTCACCTACAAAAATTCCAGAGGCTCGGCCTACCGGACCACAATGGCTGGCGGCACCAGCCGTAAAAGAAAGAAAGTGCACCGCTGGTGGTTTGGAAAAGCTTGGCGCTCAGTAAGGCGCCTCCAGGCCGGGGTGTACTGGTGGTTTAAAATTGGAACGATACAGAGAAGATTATTAGGTCCCTGCCTGCGCGAGGATGACACACATAAATCGAGAAATGGTCCAAATTGGCAAATTGAAAAAAAAAAAAGAAAGTGGATGAAAGCCATCGATTGGGCATTTTGCTGGCTACCACTTGTTGACGATGAACAGAACGCCTAGGCATGATCATGTATCTCGCCAACGAGCTGCCTTCTCCTTTTCGTTCAGCATGATGAGCTTGCCTTCTCTTCGTTCATCAGCATGACTTGTGTTCTTGTATGGCAAAGACGGTACTCTTTTTACAACCTTATAGTTTTGTCATGAAGAGAGTTGATCCATTGAGAAGCAAACTTGTTGTTCAGTCTCATCTTCCCAAGAGCAGCAACTGCTCTTTTTCCCCTTTCTAGACGAGGTAGCCCCAAACCTATTGTACCCATCCAAGTGCGTCAGAAGACTCAGAACTCATGATCTGGCTGTTAACGTTATATGTGTGTACCGTTCGGTCACATGGGAAGCAATCAGTACTGCTTATCCGATTTTTGTGTACGTAATCTTGACTTCCTGGTGGAAAAAGAACTGAGCTGTTGGTACCCGACACTTCTTTTTTTCTTTTCTTTTTCGTAAAGCGTTTTTGTTCTCATTGGTTTTCTTCTTGTTTGTCATCGCACAGGCAAGCTCCCATCTGTGCACTTCTTTGCTGTCTACGATGGTCATGGAGGCGCAGAAGCAGCAGAGACGGTAGTTCGAAGACTGCATCATGTCTTTCGACAGCGGGTTGTCCAGCGAGTTCTCCAGCAGTTTCAGTTGGGCAGAGCTTCAGGGCTCCCTAAGAGTGAGGCTATCAGACAAACTATGGGCTCCGATAGGACAAGCAAATTCTGGTCAATTGCCGAGAGGATGGGACTAGAGGGGCGCCAACACCGGTGTAACTTAGAAGAACACGGGCCTGGCTGTGACCTTGCTCAAGACTTCGTCGGAGATGGGTTGTCCGAAGCGGGATTCCGTGGCGGACTCGCAGCAGAGGCAGACCAGGGACCCGACTCAGGGGTTTCGCAAAGTGGGCCGTCCAAAGTGGGTCGTCCAAAGTGGGATTGCTTGCACGAGACCAAGAAGAAGGGTAGTGTAGAGGGAGAAGAGTCTCTTGCAGAGGGTGGGAAGTTGTTGTTAGGTCCTTGCACGGACCCGACTCGGGGGTTCTGTGACATGGAGGGGTTAGGTGGGGGTATTCCGGCAGATGGAACCGGAGGATGGCAGGGGTCAACTGATGGTGGACTCTGTGTGGATAAAAATGCCCTTGACTGCGAAAATAAGGATGGTACGGAAACTGGAGATGGGATGGAGAGGGGCGAGCTTCAGACAGTCGGGGAGAGGCTTCTGCTCGATGTCCGTGATCTGGCTGATGGAGGGGCCATGTATCGAAATCTATTGAGTGAAGCTCTGAGAGAGGCAATTCTCGACGTTGACGATGAATTTTCACGGGTACGAGGGCCTGTTCTATATCCCACTGAGATGCAGGATGCTGTCCTCTTTCTCTTTACGTTCTTCCCCCCCCCCCCCCCCCCCCCTTTTTAATACAGCTGTCTTCTCCTCATATGGGGGACAGTTGTATTTTTTGACTACCCTATTTTCTTCTCGTCTCTTGCTAACTACCTATATCTATGATCTATGTCCCACCCAATAACCCAACGAAGCAGCCTAGGATAATGATCAACTGAACTAGAACCACCAATGAACCATAGGATAATGATCAACTGAACTAGAACCACCAATGAACCACAGAATGGAGCTACCATTGGACAGAAGACCCGCTTTAAATGTATTAGGCAGGGGTAAGCTATCCTAAGGTTATGGATGCTACCTAACTCTGCTCTGTGTGGGGGAGCAGCACCCAAGCCCCTAACACCTGGCTCATTCTGGAAAGTCAGGACACAACTTCCACAACCAGCCAGGAGGGACAAGCCGACTGTCTCAGCCGCTGAGCCCGAAGTATGCCACAGCGGTTCGTGGGGAGTCAAATGGATGACGTGCCAGTGGGCAGTGGGGAATCGAACCCACGACCGCCTGTGTACCACTTACGTGCTCAACCAACTGAGCCAGGACGCTTTGCCATAATGTTTCTTTGGAGCTCATTCGGTCAATCACATCGTGGTTGCTGTACTTGCTCTCCCCCCTATCCCCCCATCCGCCGGTCCAGCCGTCCCCCCATCCCCCGTCCCCCCGTCTCCCCGTCTCCCCGTTTCCCCCTCCCCCGGTCCCCCCGTCCCCCGTCCCCTGTCCCCCCCTCCCCACAGGACTGCCGTGCCAGTGGGCATTGGGGAATCGAACCCATGACCTCCTGTGTACCACTTACGTGCTCAACCAACTGAGCCAGGACACTTTGCCATAATGTTTCTTTGGAGCTCATTTGGTTAATCACATCGTGGTTGCTCTACTTGCTCTCCCCCCCATCACCCCATCCGTCGGTCCTGCCGTTCCCCCC